TAAGATTAAGGCTTCATAACAGATTTTATAACAATGATTTCTACAAAATGAAAGATGATTTTAGCTCTGACATAGTAATTACGTTGTACAATAAATTGCCGTTGAATCTTTTCTCGCTATATTTCTTTTTAACATCTTACAACAGATTTTTTTAACAGGCTATTTAATTTTATGGTTCTATCATGTACCATTATATCCAACGAAATTATGATCGGGGGAATAATATGTTATTTTAATCATTTCAAAGTTAAATCTGTAAGAATAAAGACCAAATTTACAATTATTTTACTTATTGCTTATATGTAAATAAATAAATAATATCGTTTTTGTTTATATTTGTATGTCTTAAGAGTTATAAAGCTTCCAGAGGATCTATCACATGCATTTGCGACAAACTATTCGTAACGTGATTGAGGTAATTTGTATAAGATTTGCACAGATATTTTATATTGGGAAAGTTTATCGATGACATTATGAAAACACATATCGTAATAATTCGTGATAGACCCCTGGAAATATTTAAAGACAGATGCCACACGACAAATGTGTAACGCACAACGTCATAAAGTCACTCAGTCAGGTTTAAGTATCATACACTTACCTTTCATTAGATATTAAAATTTTATTTACTAACATCGGCTTTATTTTATATTATATCATTCAAATAACAATTACTGCATTATTCAATGTAAGATAAAATCCAGTTTAATACTTCCTTTTCCAGTCCAATTATAGTCGATACTTGATTGTTCTGTTTCTACAATTAAATCAAGACCGCGACGTTGTGCAAGCTCGCTAAATTTAAATCCCAGAGAGAAATCGCAGAGTTGAGGAGGCTATTTAATTATTTCCGATTTTCACGATAAATGCCTGAAATATACTGAATTTTGGTAACAAATCTCATCTTAACGTTCTGGAACTTTAATTTTATTTGTTTTTGTTACATTTTTACATACATGTAATCATCATCAGGTCACTATACGTCCCCACTGAGAGGCTCGGAGCCTATCCTAAGTTAGGGGTGACTAGGTCATAGTCAACCACGCTGCCCCAGTGCGGTTTGGTTGACTTCACACGTGTCTTTTAATTTTAAACACATATCTTCAGATATGTGCAAGTTGCACCACGATGTTTTCATTCACCGTAAGAACGTGGAATAAATGTACGTATGTAAATCGAAAATCGACCTGCAGATTACAAGTCAAGTACTTAAACCGCTGAGACACCGACGCCTTACATCTATGTAATAACACTTTTTACGTGAGTCAATTTTAAATATAAGCTAAATTGATTTTAGGATTTCGACTTCAAAGTTTCACAATTTCACTAACTTTTACTTACAGTGTGATTTACTCGAGACAAACAACGATTTAGACATTCTTGGAATAATTGAGAATGTAACAAAGGTTAATCAAAATCAGGTATTTAATTCTAGCATTAAGTTTTTTAATAAAAACTTCTAAGTTAGAAGATCAGATCACTACAGTTTTATGTGATAAATAAGTAAAATTTTAGCGCCAATAGGTTAAGGGTACGTATTTCTAATCGTCGATCGTAAGTTCGAATCCCACCATTCAACTATTGTCCTTAACCAAATCCTAGTACAAGTCTAGATCTTGGTTGGAATGGTACACGAAATATTAGTAAATTTGCAATCATCAGCTTATATTAAAAAAAAAAAACTACGTTAAAACACTTTTAACAAGATATTAAGTTGCTATCAAGTTTAAAGTTTGGTTGTAGTATCGTTAATTCTAACAGTTTTTACGAAGACCTTACCTGACCCAAAAGTTTGTTGTAACTTGAAAGTAATGAGACCCTTTCCATCCTTAAATAAATGTTATGTTGTATAACAACTTATGTTTGTTTACTAAGAAATAATCAGAATACTAATTTGAAAATAAAAATACTTCGAATAACTGTTAAAACATTATTATGGAAATTAAGTTCCGACATTTGGTTATAAGTAAAAATATAAAAGGGAATTCTAAAATTATAGAGACAAGCATATGATAATAAGACGACGTTTATAATATGCTACTAATTGGCTTAGCTTTATAATAATAATGTCTCCCTTACTCTTTACGGCTCTATATAGTTACGAGAAGGGACTCTATATTTACCAGTTCAACTTTAATAACTTTTCTTAACTGTTTTGTAGTCTTATGTAAATTAATATCACAGAACTGGGAACGTAACTTTTCACTACAGATAGATGCATATTTTTCATGTATTCAGATCTAAACATTATAAATTCATAAAATAAATTTAAGCACAACTACTATTTAGTATTATCACGTCGTAGTGAAACTTGTCTTATTAAAATTGGAATTTAGTGTTAGGAACAAAATCCAAAAATGTGGCAGTGTATTGATCCAACACTAGCCTTACTAAAATGTCGACGTTTGTGTCCACTCACTATTCATTATGACACTGGACTTTGTAACGAAATCAAGCGAAAGTAGATATGTAGGTTTTACTTGGAATCACATAACAGAGTGACTCCAATAGGTTTCAAATATACTTTTTGACTAGTTGGAAATTTATTTTTCTTTTTAAATATTAACATAGTGGCGCTGGAAATAAAACAGATTTACAATACAATATTAAAATTTATATTAATATCAGCAAAGATAAGGGTCGTGTGGGTAAAAAATAAAATGGAGGTCTAACAGCTGGGACGACAGCAATTGATTGACGTCTGTCTTAGAGGTTTTTGTTTATTCGTAAAATTAGAAATCTCTTTAATCCATAGATGTAGAAGATACGGTTTAGCGGATAACATCATGCGCTGTCACTATTCTATCTTTTATTTGGTTATGAAATGTCCTTGACTTAACGAGCAATTCAACAAGCTTTTACCTTTTTATTTGTAGCTCTCGTGATAATTTAGCATCATGTGTAATTTAGGATAGGACATCTTAACTTTGTTTTTAATCGTTCAATAAATAAATTTTTGTTCCTTGGATTTAATGAAACATATATTAATTTCGATATTATACTTAATTATTCATCTTCGTTTGACAAATACGTAAACTATGTTTTGAAAAAAATTGAGCCAAAAATAACGACTATCGTTTTTATTAAATACTCTAATGGTAATTTGAATAACCAGATTGTCTACCAAACTTTACCTTTGACATAACTTTAATATGGAAAATCCTGTGAGTTCCAATATAAACTAAGTTTACAAGGACATCCTTTGAGCAGCGTTATGTAAATCTCAAGAGGTAGTTGAAAGTCACCGGATAACCTTTATTAGTGTTTGTGTTAGCAAATCTTATTAACTATGTTGTGTAGATCAAACGTTTGCACCGATATTGGAAATTTCAAATTTTAAATTTGCATATGCAAACTTCCGCGTAACGACGATATGTAACTAGTGACACATGAAATTCGCAACACAGGAAACGAAAAATAAATATAATATAATGGTAAAGCTTAACAATGATGCGATAGTTTTTAGATACGTTAAATAGATAAAAAAATTAAAAACTCTATCAAATATTTGTCATGCCACTTGACCATTTTTTTCTTCTTTTTCATAGTCGTAGCAGTTTTTTCAGACTGGTCGTAGTCATCAAGTATTAATAACGCTTCACGATGCGCCGCCACTCCTCCAATTATCAATTTATTCTGACCTTGACCAATTTATTCCGTGCAAGATGCATTACAAAACACCGCGTAATTTCAACTAAAATGTTGCAACAACATATCACTTTAGATATTAAATTGATTTTAGTTTTTATTAGGATCAGGTGTAGGCAACGCAATGTCAGAAACCGCAACTTAACCGCAGATATGTTACACGCCGTTTGCGCTTGTAACATGATTGACCGCAATGTTACATTTTAATTCATACCCACAAATGAAATATTAAATAATTACCTATGCCTTAATACATAAACGTCTTTTTATTCAATGCTAATACTTAATGCTACTAAAGCGTCAATAGCCTAATGGTTAAGGGTACAGATTTCCGTTCACGAGGTCGGAGGTTCGAATCCCGCCATTCGACTATTGTCGTAAACCATATCCTAGCTCAAGCTTAGAGCTTAGTTGGAATGGTAAAAGAAATATTAGTAAATTTACAAAAAAATCTGCTAACATTTTACTACAAAAAAAAAATGTAGTAAACCAAAACTGGATCTAGATTTTTAATATTTTGAGTAAATAATAATTGTCATTTTTTAACACATTTATTTTAACTACGTATAAAGTTAAAAATGACGAATTATTATTTTTTTCACCCCAAAAATATTAAGTAATAAAATTAAACTGTTCCAAAATTTGTCCATATATATTTTTAAATTAGATTAAAAACTAGCGACCGGAAGAAAAGCATTTTAAATGTTCTCTTTGAAGTTTTTAATAAAACGCAAAAGAAGCTTTCGCATACGTTGTAGCATTCATGAAGAGCAAACATTTAAATAGACAAAATTGCGATTCATTCGCAAGGTTTTTATTATCAGTTTCACGCTATTATTTTAAATGTGTTATATTCTTTTAGCCAATTTGTTAAGTAAAATGGCATGAAATGTGATAGAATTGGAAAAGTTTTAGTAAAATATCTTTATTACCTTTTGAAATTTCAGAAGCTAGAGCGCGATAAGTCGCCGTAGGAGAGAGAGTTCTAAAACGCGGTGGAAGAGAGTTCTAAGTATTTTCTATGCTGCAACACTTAGTCTTTGTTAATCAACTAAGACAGCTAATTTTCCAGTTGTGTAAAATCTTACACGCATGCAAAATAGGTAAAAATGCGGTACTTCATAATTTTAAAATAATTGAAAACAATAGGTTTAGCATTTTTGAGTTCAACTTGTCGTTGGTTTCTGAAAGCAACATATCTGTATAAAACACATCGTAATGCCTTGCATTTTCTTTCACAAACCAGATATAACAGTATGTTTTAAATGAATATTCTAGTCTCAGAATCCCACGGTTAGATTTAGATTAGATTTTTGATATTGTTGGCGCAATGTTGGTCAATGCATTGTCAGGGACGCAAATCAGTGTTAACACGCACGGCCCCCAGTGGACCACCCGGCTGGTCACGTTGCGCGTCGCTTTGATTTACGCGGCCGTTCGTCAGAACGCCCGCCGCTAATAAACACAGTTGAATAAATTACACCAATATTGCATTGTTGCTTTGTTATTTACTGTCTACTGTCAAACTTCAAATTTATTTGTTCAATATGTCCTAACCTCGGTCAAATATTGGAGAGCGTAACCCTCATAGCTTTTATACAATTTGTTGCATTCTGTAACGATAAAATAAAGTTTGAAAAGGTAGAGGTAAAGAGAGATACAATCCTATCAATAAGCTGTATAATATAAAATATAATCTGCTGGATCTTCGCAGTTTGGTGAACAAACAAAACTGGTGATGATGACGTCTTAAACACGAAGACTTTTCTTTGAATAAGTGCTACAATTTATTGTATCTACTGCCAAGTATTTCTTTAGATTTCGTATATCACTGCAACAAATCATATTTCAAGTTTCGAATCATACATCTTATTGTAACACGATTACTCATAATTAGACTGGATTAGCGTTTCGCCTAAAGCATAAACGGTGTGCAGAAAAAGTTTCGAAGAAGACACTTTCTTAAGTACGAAGAAAGACAACACCTGACCATTGCTACTTCAGAGTAATAAGATCGTGTTTGTTCATATTTAAGTACATGATCTAAACTGTAAATCGACTACGTGACTAGAAGCACAGATATAAGGCGGAAATCTGGCTGCAAAAATTTGTATTTACATCGACATGATAATTTACAAAATATATACTAATCTAGTGCAAATTTGTAAGGTTAACATTGATCAATATGAATCACATAAAATACGCGTAAGTCGTGGATATGCGAAAACGATAACTAACGTAATTTTTTTTAATTCGTCGGATTGATATTTTTTGCATTACACGTTGCAATGCTGACATGCTCTTCTCATTATGTAATTACCTAGTTATCAAGCACCAACATAAAAATATAAAAGATTTGCATAGTACACATTACGGTATATGTAAAACAGGCCTAGTAAATAATATCTTTCACATATTTCAAAGTAGATATACTTGTTAATAGTTAACAATATTGATGAAGTATTTACCTCAGCAGCTCAGATGTCTTAGTAAGTGAATCAGTCGCCTTTACACCTAAAGTTGTCTCTTGGAAATTTAATATGGGATATCTGGAGATGTTTACAAACTAAGAGTAAGTTTGGCAGACGATCCTCCGTGTACCTTTATGTAAATCACAGGTAATTGGTAGACGTCTCTCGAGAACTTTTAGTAAGATCTTTGGAACATTTAGTAGTGCTGCATATTGTATAAAACGGAATCTAGAACGTTTGATACACAATAGTCTGTGGTTTTTGCTAACGTGTTGTTGGCTAACTCATCATTTGTCAAAGATACTTTTTCTAACCGCGAAAAAGTTGGTAAAGATCATGGGACGTTGCCGAGGGGAGCAATGATGCACTTACTTAACCCCCCCCCCCCTAGTGAATCGGAAACATATAAAATAGATACAAACACTACTTCGCGCTCGAGATGTGGTGCTGGAGAAGAATGCTGAAAATACCTTGAACCGCATTCCGGACAAACAAGTCAATCCTCGAAGAACTCGGCATCAAACAGCGTCTGTTATGTTCGGGTTCGCATATTCACTTTTTTTGGTCACGTCTGTAGACGTGATGACGAATCCATCGAGCGCTTGGTGGTAGGGGAAAGTTGAGGGCAATAGACCACGAGGAAGATCGCCTATGAGGTGGACCGACCAAATCAGAGCGGCTGTGGATGTCCCCCTGCACCAATGTACAAAAAAGGCAGCGACTAGGGAGGAGTGGCGGCGCCTGGTAAAGCGAGTCACTGATACGTGATGACCACGACCAGTCTGACAAGACTGCAACGACGAAGAAGAGAAGAAACTACTTCGGAATTCTATTATATTTAACTTAAAAACTTCCTTCATCCCCTAACTAAAAAAAATCATTTTTCCTACCTCCCCCCATCTAGTACAGATCTTTGGTTGGTGACGCCCTTGATAAAGAAGTTTAGTTTTAAAAGGCAAAATAAAAACACAAACTCATTTAATTCTTATAATTAGTTATTTCTCTGTTACAGTACAATTCAATATGTAATCAAACTTAACAATAATGAAAGTATATTTTTTAAATATATTACCAGTTAATATAATTTTTTCCTTTGTTAATCCATAAACAATCAATAAAGTGATCGTTCTGAAAATAATCAAATAGAGTCAATAAAAGCTTTTCATTCTGATGATAATTCCGCTAAAGGACACACGATTCTGATAATTTGATAGCATTGAACACGGGGAAAATGGACGCTCCGCATATTTACTACTGCATTGTGTAAGTCGAGAAATATGTCTAGTTTTCATAACTATTTATTCTTTATATTTACGATTTAAAAGAGATACATAAGTGTTATATTTACTTGGATTTTCTATATACATATTTATATTAATAAGTAAAAAAATCTGAAGTCTTCTGACGCAAGTCACTTGAAACTTTGCTTAAATCGAATTTTGTATGAAGAATGATTAATTCTTTGAAAGTTTCTTTTCACCTGTCTGAACCATCACCTTACCATACCATTTGTAAAATTTTGTAACCGATGACCTTCAAATATTGCTATATTTAAAAAAAAACTATTATGTTATCGTCAATAACCCTTTATCAATATGAAATAAAAAAAACAATACAACTAACAAAGATTTTAAAGAAAATTAAAATTGCCCCAGAAGGTGTAAAATATTTAAGTTTTTAAAAAATGCCCTTTATTTTTAATACCCAGAGGGGAATTTTTATTTTATTTTTCTGGTGACCCTTGTGACCACCCCTATGTACGTAACCTTTTGGGACACCCTGTATATTAATAACGTTTAACGAATATTCAATTTTTTATAGATATAGGTATCACAATGATATTTGCATGTAAATTAAAGGTTTAAAAAATATTTAATGTCAGTAACTGAATACATTATATCGGATAATGGTGTGTCCAATGTACATTTTTGCGGTGAAATCTCTATTGTGTCCGTCTTTTGGCACATAATAATATCAACGTAGTATGAAGAATACATATAAATCTAAATGTGAATAGATGTAGGACACTTGTGTAGACAAGAAGTGGCGCTGAGATACGTCCATATTATCACAAAGGAAAACATAAAGCCTACTAGAATGGGTAATGTATTCTTTTATGTGAACTCTGCGCACTTCGCGTCATCCACTGAGACACCTGCTTTATTATATTTCTGTTTTCTTCCCAGATAATATGTTCAATGTTACGAAAGTCTGTGCTATAGTGATAACATAAGTGGGATTTCATTTATTTCAATGATTAGCAGTCAGAAATTAAAAAAAAATATAATTAGTAGCCTTTGTGTTCTTCCAGGCTATGTTTTAATGTATGCCAAATTTTATCGAGATCCGTTTAGCCGTTCTAGAGATACCTTAAAAGAAATATCCATCCATCCATCTAAACATTCGCGTTTATAATATTAGTAAGATGATAATTACATTTAAAAGCACTTTTGAGATAAGTAAAATTTAACGGTACACGTTTTTATTTTTGCACTAGTATTCGCCCGCGATTTCATTTGAGAAGAATAAAAATAATAGTCTATATTATTGCCGCATGGATCAGTTCCCTTCGAAGTGCCGTCCCGAAAATTGGTTTTTAGTTATTAGCAACGCAATTCTATCACGTGTACGAAATATTTTTTTTCGTTATACATACGGCTACTCCAATTTTAGTAATATGTATACATTAAAAAATGTTTTTATACTGCTGTGAAATTTTTATTTGTATTTCCCAATCATAGAAACCATAAAATTAATAATTAATATTATAAATGCGAATGTTTAGATGGATGGATAGATGGATGTTTGTTTGAATGTATCTCCAAAAAAGCTGTACGGATCTTGATGATATTTGGCATAGATGTAGAACATAGCCTGGAAAAAGACATAGGCTACTAATTATTATTTTTTAATTCCTTGAGAACGGAGTCGCGGGTGACAGCTAGTTGATAGTAAGTATGGTTTCAGTTAGTTTTGTGATTATTAAAATAGTTGCTTTCTCTTCAATAAACAAAGTACTTTAATCTCCCAGAAACTTGTGGAAATAGGTATTTAGCTCACGTAAATTACACATTATTTCAAATAAACACTCCTAGCATGTAATTAATTAGGCCGTACGTACAAAGATAAAACGCCATTAAATTTGCTTAGAAAGATAACATTACGAATAGAGTAGAATGTAAAGGATTTACGTGACAACGTATATAACATGATATTTCTCTTAACAATATAAATGTTTTATATAACAAAATATAACAATTTAAATACTTAACTATATAAAAAAGCAATCCTACTAATATTATAAATGCGAATGTTTAGATGTGTGGGTGGTTAGATGTTTGTTATAAGGTATCTCCAGAACGGCTGCATGGATCTCAAATAGGTATAAACATTGGCATACTAGTTAAGTTTTTTTTTAATTCCGCGCGGACGGAATCGCGGGCGACAGTTAGTGTTCCGATAAACTTCAAACTTACAAACTATTTTTATTACATCGTTTTCTTTTTGATTTTAGGCGATATTTCAGTATTGATTATAATTACAACAAAAAGAAATATAACAATAATTAAGTAAAATAAACTTATGGAGTGTACATATTTTGGGTTTGTTTATATATCAATTTAAAAAGAACATGTTGTACATTATCTTTGTATCGAATTATACGTAAATAAATATACGTCGTTAATTAACAATTTACGTCAAAGTTAATTACCTCACTACAACTCTCTGAAAATAACTTCGACAGACGAAATATACGTGAATTTTATTTTTAAATGAGTATAGCAATTATTAAAGTGTTGTATTTATATAATGAAAGTAAAAATGTTTTACTCGTATATAGCCTCGGGAGTATTTAAGTCAAATCGAGAGACCGAACCAAATTTGAGCCTAACGTTTTACGACCAATTATAGTTAATACCTTTTAGATTTACTGTAGATCGAAAATCGAATCGAAATTGTTCCCGATACGGACACGCAGTTTTTATGT